TTTTTTTAGCCTGATAACAAATTATCATAATAATAATTTTTGGTCACAAATAAAAGTATTTAATATTTTTAAATTAACCTAAGAAATCGACTCCGGAATTTTCGGGAAATTTTTGGAAATTTTGTATATTTCTTCAACTTATTAATAAATAAATATATTAAAGAAACAATATTATTAAAGTCGGTGGCGTCATTAAAATATTATTTTTTAAAAAAAAATGTTCAACTATTTTTCGTTTTCTTTACTAAGTCTTATGGGTCTGAGTCTTTTGTAATTTTATATCTTTTTATTAGAATATTGGTATAAACTCTTGTACATAACAAATTTGGCCTTTCAATTTAAATTTCAGAAAATTAATTGTTTAAAATAATGACTATAACTAATGATCATGTTAATTTTTTTCTGGTTTAGTGTTTCTGTAGTTGATTAAATGTTTAATCTAAAAGTTCTCTAAAGAAAATGTTTGGTTATAGTCCTGTTACAATTCGTAACAGAAATTCGAGAATTTGTGAGTTTAAAGTATAGTCAAACTTTCATAACTCATACTTCTATAACTCGAATTTTCTATAAATCAAACTAAATAGAGTGCAACACACTTTAGAGAGCAAATTACATACAATTACGAAAAAATTCTTCAACTCGAAGTCTCTATAAATCGTACCTTTTCTTTTCACCATGGTACTTCGAGTTATGGAAGTTTGACTGTAATTAGTTTATACATTAGTTTAATATAACCGATTAATTGTTTAACCTAGAAGCACACTTGAAGCATTACCGAAAACATCTTATCGGTCTCAGGTGGTTGTTTTATACATTAATTTCGTATACTCGATCAAGTGTTTAATCTATAACTTTCTCAAAGAATAGTTTTGGTTGTGATTCTACTACAACAACTAAAGTATTTTTGGAGACAATTTATCAGTTTTGAGTAGTTAGTTTATATATTAGTTTCATACAATTGATTAAGTGTATAACTGGGAAGATCCTCGAAGCATTTTCTAAAACGTTATTCCCAGTTATAAACAGTTAGATTCCTATAATCGATATAGTCTTTAAGCTATAAGTTTTATAGAAGAAATTTTTAAGGGCCTATTACAATGGGAAATACTGTAGTGTTTTGGAAGACAACAACCCAAAACTAAAGCGTTTTCAAACACAACTTATTAGTTTCAACACTATAAAAACAATTTGGTTGATTAAATCAGATTTTAACTAAATTTTAGAACAAAATATTCTTACTCGATGCATCATGTTGATTCAACCATACCACATGTTAGTTTTAATACGGATATATTCTTCACCACATGAGCTAAAATTTCTCTAACAAAATGATCAGGTCAATTTAACTAGTATGTGATTAGAGGAAATTTTACTGAGTGTACTATCTTCATTTGACCCAAACCTGAAGCCATTCCATTTCAGCCGTTAATACTTCACTCTTTAAGAGATTGTAAGTGCAGCATGAATAGAGTATTTGACCGCATTATATTGCGCATTTGGGATATGGCGATGGCAGTACACTCAGACAAATAATTTGGTTGATTTAATCAAATTTTAACTAAATCTTCGGTTATGATATTTTTACTCGATGCATCATCTGGGTTCAACCATATCGTATATTGGTTTTTATAACTTCTTTACCACATGAGCTAAAATTTCTCTAAGAATATGGTGAGATCAATTCCACTAGCATGTGGTTAGATCATATTTTTCAGCGTGGAGTGGTTATAAATGATCCTAGATGTACTTTGTACACAAAATTTGTACATAAATATCTCATATGCTTTGAATACAGTTTTTCATCTGTCCTGGCGTCACTGCAACTTGTTTAAATGTAATTTCCTCTTTACTCACAAGTTAAGTTTAATTTTCTTTCTTCCATTCAAATATCTTTTTATTTCCGTATCTCTACACTTCTGTTGATGTCAGCAATTAAAATATCATTTCGTAACAGTAGGTTCACTATTCAAATGAAAAGAAGTTTCGAAAGTAATTCCTTTGAATGTTTCAAATTTTAAACGAAACAACATTCTGTTAAATATTCAAAAAAAAAAATTGTATTTCAAAAACTGCCAATTTATGCCAACATAAACTTTGCTTTAAGAAAAAAAAATTAGTAACCCAAAGAGAAAAAATGAGATACTCAACTGCACTCAGCCAAACTGCCAATTTAAAAGTTTTCGCCTTTCTTTTCTTTGGGTTTGAATATGAACTGCAATTCTCTTCCTTCCAAAACTTTTGCACTTTCCTAAGATTTTGCTGTATTCATGGATTTGGGAATTGTTGTCGTAGTCTTTTTGCTGCGGTTGCGATATGTTATGGAAGTTTAAATGTCACCTAAAAGTGCATCAGGTGCGCCACAAAATTCGCACTTGTGGCGCATGCTGCATATTTGCAGATTGCGCGCGTCGACGACACGTTTTTGCTATGCGATATTTTACTTTCCCAACCGAGTAAGAAAAAAGGAGCCAATGTTTAAAATTATTTTAGCTCCTATTTGGTTTAAGTTTACTGAAATATTTTCCTACTGCAACCTTTAGTTTAAAGCATTTTTATTTTATTCCTGTGGCAAGTTGTCCTTTATTTTTCTTAGTCGTGTGTCTTTGGCAAGGATAAAACCGTGCACGTGCTGCATAAAAAATGCAGAAAAATTCCGACCGCTCTTGCAGCAAATACCGCAGTGTAACTTCATACGTTGATGTCAATATCGATAACTTGAAATTATGCTACTTCTTGTTCAGAGACTCTTTCATATTATGGAATAGTTTCTTATATTTTTTATTTATTTTAAGGTCCTGCATAGTTCGTGTTGTAGTTGCTCTTTAAATAGTTTTCGGTTGTATCTTGTTGTGTAAGGAGTAAAGTAAGTAAAGCTGTCGCCGTAATGCCATCACAAGTTTCAGCTGCAGATTCCTTATTTTAAAGAAAATTGCTTACTTAAATATTAATTTTATTAAAAGACTATTATTTTGAAATACCATATACGATATGAAACGTGTCACATTGAGGAACATTTTAAATTGATTCATTAACATTTTAAAGAATATATCGATTGAGATTTTTATTTATGCATAAATCAACTTTAAAATTTAATTAAAAATATTTTTAACATTCTTAATTTTACTTTTAAAATCTTTGTTGTCGCTTGTAGAAGCTTCCAGTCTGTAGTAAATGCGAATTCGTATTGATTAAAGGATATGCAGCGGTTAAAAAATATATATACATGCAGTTTATGATTAAAAAATCGGTTAAAGCTTTCTGGATTGAGAGAATGTCGTAATTATTTTCAGCGTTATGACACAGAGACTTCTTTTGAATATGGTCGGGCAAAATTTAAATATACACAGTTGCGATACAACGAACTTTAATTAATTAAATTACAGTTCTCTTGACAATTTCTTTGATTAAATACAACAAAATACCAATACACAAAAATTATTTTGAGGCATAAATCTACGACATTAATTGTGTCAAAAAAATATATTTTTCTTCTCAAAATTTGGAAAATTTGAGTTGCTTACAAAACTTTTTAAGGTACGAAAAATTGTCATTCATATTAATTGAGTTTTTGACTTATTTACTCTCACTTACTTACTACTGTCTTTCTCTACTAATAGAGCGTGGGGCCTCAACGACTCCTCTACATGTTACTCTATTGCATGCTTCTCTCATAGTTTAATTACACGAGTACACTGCGTCTTTAAGCTCTGGTCCACAGTTCTTTGCCATGTCTTAGCTGGGGCTCGAGACCTGCGGTTACTATGTGGATTCCAACGCAGGGCTTGTTTTGTTATACAGGGTGTGGCTTTTCTAAGCGTATGACCAATCCACTTCCAATTTGAAGCTGCATGGTTTGCCACTATGAAACGCTGGTACAATGATTTTAATCGTGACCGCAGTTCGCTCACTGACTAAATTACGAAATTCGTGAAGGTCGTCCAAAATCAGTTCAACTGATTGCGTCAAAAAACATTGATACTGTGTACAACCTGATACTCGTAATGCAAGATACTGGTCATGCAACATACTGTGAGCTTGAGGTTAAGGTGGAACCCTAGGCATTAGTTCCAACAGTATATATAAAATATTGCATGATCTCAGACTACTTATTCTGATTTCAATGAATTTAACCTTTACTTTGAGAAATAAATTTTCTTAAAGTAAGATAAATGAAATCAAAGAAAAGAGAATCTAAATTAAAAGTATTATGATTTATCCTTACAAAGCTAAATCTATACAATATTGTCTTAATATGGCCTTTAAAGAATACAACATTGCGACCGTATATACCTAAAAATATTATTGTAGAAATTCATAATTGATGATATACAATTAGCTTATATTCAAACAAAATTAGTCATAGGATCATTGCTTTGAAATATAAACTTAATAATATCGGCCAAATGAATGTCATTGAAAAATAGTATTATGTCAATTATAGTGAGCAGATTTCTACTTATATTTAATAAGTAGACAACCATGTTAGTTGAATTATTAAATACAAATAAAAGATACATATAAATTATTCAGCTTCATGTATTTATATCTTTATGCATGAGACATAAGACATTAGTTATATATTACTTTTTAGACCCAGCTCAGAGTCTCAAGAGTCCAAATATTTACAATTAAATGTGGAGGAATTTGTTGGACTAAATCTGGAAGATATCATTTCTTTACTCGTCATCTTATTTTATCAAAGCATTGATAATAATAATATTTTGGCAATCTGTTCTTAGTTTGTAAGCAAAGACATTTCAATAATAACCATAGCAAAATATGTATATTTAATAAATAGTGATCAGATCATACGTTCCCAGAACAATGGATAGAGAATAGTTGACACAAACTAAGACACTCTAAGGAAAAACAATAACAATAACAAAATATTTTGTTTATATAAGTACAGTCATAAAATTGAAACTGCTTAGATAAATAAAAACATATGTTTTCAAAAAAAATATATAACTACGTTTACCGAGTGCGTAGTCTGGTTTCGAAGCTTAAAGATTTAGTTCAATAGTTAACTTCACTTGGAGCGGACGACGTATTTTTGCTTTGATTTGCAACTCACGAAATATTTCGCAGCGAATTAGGTGCATAAAATGGGTAGAATTGAACAGTGGTTTTTATGTGGAGTCGTCATTTTCCTCTATTTTATGTTAAGTGAGAAGAAAGTGATTGAGAAGAAGGTTGCCACAGATATCAAAATAAATGAATATTTGATACCAGCAGACGTTTTAAGAGGTAATTTTAGTTTTTGTGAATATACTAATATAACATTTGTACTTAATGTGTCTATTGCTTTATATATCTCTTACTATATGTTTCAAGTCAATGTTATTCTGTGGTGGTACCATATGTTTACTATGTACATAAAAAGTCATTCATTTTGTGGTTACAAAAGTAAAAGTAAATAAAAAGTAGTTGTGTTTGATATTCTGTCCAAATTTTTATTTCAATATATTGTTTGTTTGTTTTTAATTGGTTTTAGCACGAGTATACAACATCATTCAATTATCCTAGACCAAAATCTTGACAATACTTAATTGTCAATAGCTCGACCATAACTGGACTTATATTTATTTTTAAAGCGTAGAGAGTTTGAGGATTGTCAAGTATAATATTATATAGTATACAAATAGTATAATATTATTACATCACTCAATAAGTCGTGTGACTAACTAAGAAAAACAAATTTTTTCTGCCTAAAATCGATTTTACTCATCAATATAATCTCCTTCAAGGGCAATACAATCATTCTAACGCTTCTCTTACTTCTCGATGCCGTGCTTGTAGAAGACTGTCTTTAAGATTCTCTTTTACCTCAAAATAGGCTTCAGTCTCAGCAATTACTTTTTCATTTGAGATGAATTTATTGCTGGCCAACATTTTTTTGAGATCAGCGAATAGCCAGTAGTCTCTGGGGGCCAGATCTGGACTATACGTTGGATGAGGAAGCAATTCGAAGTGTAATTCGTGCAATTTTGTCATCGTTTTTATTGATTAGCGACATGGTGCATTTTCTAGGTGAAACAAAATTTTTTTCTTTGTCATATGCGGTCTTTATATCGTAATTTCTGATTTCAAACGATCCAGTAATGCCGTGTAGTAGTTACTATTGATGGTTTTTCCCTTTTTTGAGATAGTCAATGAAGATTATACCATGCGCATCCCAAAATACTGAAGCCATAACCTTCCCAACTAACTGTTGCGCCTTTGGACGCTTCGGACGTGGTTCACCGGTTGCAGTCCACTCAGATGATGATACTTTTGATTCCAGAGTGAAATGATGGATCCATGTTTCATCCATTATCACATATCAACGCAAAAAATTGGATTTATTACATGTACACATGGCCAAATACTGCTCTGAATCATCAACACGTTGTTGGTTTTGATTGACTGTGAGTAAATGCGGCACCCACTTTGAAAAGTGCTTTCTCATGGTCAAATATTCATGCATAATTGTAAACACACTGCCTTTTGATATCTTTACGGTCTCAGCTATCTCATGCAATTTCAATCTAAGATCAGATATAACCAATTTCTGCACTTTTTGATGTTTTCTGGAGTAACCACCTCAATTGGACGACCAGAACGTTCACCATCATCGGTGTCTGCACGACCACGTTTAAATTCAGCAAACCTATAACAAATGGTTCTTTTCGGTGGAATAGAGTCCGGATAACACTTTTGAAGCCATTGCTGAGCTTGTACAGTATTTTTTTCATCAAGAAGCAATGATAAATTAACACACGAAATTGTTTTGAATCCATTGTTTTGAAAAAAACAAAAGTAGCTTCACGTAAATGGCTGTCACTTTTTTTTTGTGACTAATCGAAATGTCATGAAATTTTACACATAGTCTTTTGAAGGTTGGTATTTCGTAAACGTCATATGGATTTGACACGACTTATTGTGTGATGTGTTAGTGTTAGGGATCTACATATTTTTTCTATTCTATTCTATTTATACTCTTTAGTGTTATGTAGTAGCTGTACACCCTTGAATTTTATATAACTATTGTTCCTAGACTTTCCGGGCAGATGCTTTGCCGTATCCCATTGCAAATTGTTTAAAATTGAAGAAAGTTGGGACTTAAAAACAACATGCGGTCGGTCAACATGCATTCGAGATACAATTAACTTAGACAAGTGAGTGTTTTTCAATTAATCCAGATATCTATTTCAAATACTGAGTTTTTAAATTTGTAGGCTCTTAGAAAAAGTTGAAATTTGTCCGCCATATCCACCAAGTACAGCAGAATGTACAATATATGTTCCGGAAACCGACATAACAGCATCGTATCCTAATTGTTGTCCCACATTTTTGTGCAATATTAATGATAATTGGAACTATCAAAATGAAGGAGAAAAGAAAGAAGAAGAACAGAAAGATATGAAGAAGAATGAAAAAGAAAGAAAAGAAAAACAAAAGATTGAACTTTAGAGTATATAAAATCTAATAAGAAAAAAGTTTAATTATATAGTACAATCAAAACGATATAAAATTACATTAACTTAAATTTAATAATTTTTATTATTAATTTATTTCTTTTATTAGTAATTTTAGCTTTACTATCAAATATAATATATATTAAATCAAATTAATTTTTATTTTTATATAAATTTAGTATGGGAAATACTCCTAAAGATTTGATTCATTAGCACGAAGCCTGTGATTTTGACGAAGCTGGCAAACCAAATTTCAGATATATCGGATATATTCCATTACTTTTTCTAAAGCTAAAAATCTATATAAGATTCTGTGTACAGTTTACGGTAAAAAATTTTAAATGGACACATAAAAGTTGTGTTATGCATATATAATCAATATAATAATAGTAAAAGTGTATGCTACAATTATGGACCTGGTATCTTTTTATTTTAATAAGTTCTAAATAATTTATTTTAAAATTCTGGTAATATTATGAACCTTTTCACTAGAATAAGTTCAGATATATATGCATGTTGCTTATATATACATATGCTAATAACAAAAATATTAACAAAAAAGTTGTAAATATATGTCAAGGTGTTCTAGTGCACACGTAATCATTATAATTCTCATTAAGTTGGAAGTAATTTTCTTTAAACGTCTACATTTTAAATTAAAAACTATGGAGTTATTTTAATAAAATTTGTATTTGATCGTAGTATATATATGTATGTATCTGTATAATAGTAAATTCGCATGTCCCAATTACGTGGCAATGCGGATATCTTACAAGAATGACATCGTTTCAATATTGACCATTTGATAATAATAATTACAATAAAATTAATGAAATATAAGCAAATGACAATTCGTGTAAATATTTATACATTCAACAGGCTTATTGTACCTCAATTATATTTAAGTCATAAATTAGCAAAAATGCTTTATCGGATCATTTTCTAAATATTCAGATAAATAGAATTACTTACTTAAATACAACATTATATACAATGTTGTATGGAGCATCTGTAAAACAGTTGTTCTATAAATTGGATTTTAAAATATGATTCAAATATCCATGTAGCACCAACGAAGAGGGAACAGGGGAACCAGAAACGTTATAAAACGTTATTATTATACGTCATTTTACATCCCATATGTTTTTGAATAGTAGTTAAGCAACAGCACCTTTTTTTATTGAAGAAGTAGTTTCTAGAAAAAACTTTTTCGTCATAATTGAATTCAAACATTGCGATTCTCTAAAAGATACAAAAAGTTTCCGTTTTATGATATAAATATCATGAAACATGGTAAAAACTCAATTAAGAATTGTATGAAAATTTTCTGAAGATATATACATAGTTATGAAAGATGTTGTCACGACAAGTTTCACTATCTTATCGTAGAATGTTTTTCTGGAAACGTTATTTGGCCACACTAGTTGACAAACGGCACGTTTGCTTATTGTTAGTCGTGGGTAGCATAATCAAAGTATATATGACAACTAGTATATATACTAATAAGTGCTAAATAGCGTGTGTAGGTTTTGTATGTCTAATCAATGTAAGAAGTTTACAAATTTGAACCTAAAAATCTCGAGAAGTAAGCTATATTGAAATATAATGTAGTGGAAAAAGTTGTTCAAAAGGATTGACTTTACTAAAATTCGTTCCTAAATCGATGTGTCTTGGAAATAGGAATCATGTTAGAATTAGTTGATGTCTAAAATGATAGATAGCAAAGAAAAACGCAACACTGAAACAACTGATTATAATAAATCAAATTATTTAAATTTTTTCTTCTAACCTTGAGAGTTCATTGAATGTATAAAGTATATAGAATTAATTAATAAAATCCAATATATATTAAAAACAACAATTTAGGTGAAACTTTCACAAAAGACCATTATTATTTGTGCTCAATAGGACTTTGGTGCTTAAGGCTAATACCGCAACCTAATGTAGATGTGGTATACAAATCATGGAATTCTGGGAATTTTGTATTATGACAGGAGTTAGTTTGAAATACCATACTAGAAATGTTAATTTTAGTTTCAAGAACAGGAAGCATACACTCAGAGCTATGTCAGGTGCAGAACTGTGCAGTACTGATTACTTTTGTGCTTAAATTACCTTGAAATTAGTAATTGAGAGTAGTTAAATTACAAAAGCAGTCAGTACTACACAGTTTTGTACCTGTTATAGCTAAGAGCGTATACTTCCTGTTATTGAAACTAAAATTAACATTTCGAGATACTAATAATAATGGAATCGGTAATGAAATTGATTTTGCATAGCTCTGGTTAGGTACATATGGTTTATGCTCGTTGATTTTTTTTTTCAAAAAATGCTCCCAAAACCTTTTACTCTGAATAGATATGAATTATTACATACTCTAGAGCAGGGCTGTCCAAAGCATAGTCCACGGGTCTCATACGGCCCGCGACTAATAATTGTGCGACCGGCAACATGTTTCTATTCTACCTGGCAAATTTTTATTTCTTATATTTTAGTAACATTAGATTATTTAATTTTTATAATATCCCAAACAAATGATTTAAAATGTTTTAAATAATTTATTACACTTCACGTTAAAGACTTTTTCAAAAAGTCTTTTTGTACAATTTTTTATTTTCCTCCGGTAAAATTATGAACGTATGTTTTTATTTCTGCGGCTCTTCAAGCTGTTAAGTGATTTGTATTGGCCCACGACTTTATCTGATCTGGACAGCACTGCTCTTGAGTAAAAAGCTGATCAGAATGAAAATGTGATGATTTCGCTTTTAATATTATACCAAGGATAAGATTTTTTTCAACTTTTCTTTGAATATATTATTATCTTTATAATATTATATTTGAAACTGCTACAGGTACTTTTTTGCAATTCTATTTAATTTCTTCTTTATATTTTCTAGTTTGATCACCTTTTTATTTTGTATTCAATTATCCAAAATAAAACGTAACTTTTCTCTTTGACATCGTTCTGGTATCGAAGAGTTCCCAGTTCAGAAATTAAAACTCACTAAATTATACTCATAGCCCATCAGTTTGAAAACTTACTATTTGACGCAAAAATATTATTATGGAATTTTGAACTCAACTTAAACTATCATTAGGATATGTTTCCGGTACGTATGTAGTGTATGGCACATGTGTGTTTCTTCAAACAGTAAATGACAACGCCACTAAGCAGACTTTTGCTCCAAAGTAATGTACTCCGCATCAGAGATACTAGGCGATGGCTAAACATATGTGTGCGCATTTTTAAAATACTACAAAGTTAAAAATTTTGCTTCGTAAACTTAAGGAGAAAAACTTAAAAATGTTCAAAATGCTTAAATTATGCCACATGCATTATGCAACAGAAATAGCAGAAATAACAGAAGTTGCATCATTTGCACCAACCAGCATCAGTGGAACCGAAAAGTGTAGCAAGAGCTGCAGCAATGGCAGACATCCTTTTGCCTGTCATACGTAGTATTTTGACGTTGTTGCTTAAGCTTTAAGTTTAAATTTCTTTTTAGCCTCAAAAATGGAGAAAAATGCAATAAGAAGACCAAATGAAGAATGAAAGGATCTGGGGGTATTAACTATGCCAGCAGCAACGAGAGTATCGAAGTTGGCTTTGGTGCTATTGACAAGTTGGAGTAACAACTTTGCTGGCATGTCAGAGGCGTTAAATTTTATACTCATATCCTTGAGTAGTTTAATATGCAGTTTAACTTAATGCTTAAACAATTTCAACTTTTTTCTTATTATTTCTATATAGTTTTTTATTTTTATTTATTTTTTTTTTATTTTTCTTCTGCAAAATTGCTTGTTAGTTGGCAATCCTGGCAGTTCTGGCAGTCCTGGTAGTGCTTTCTGCTCGTTCTGTTGCATCAGATTTTGTAGTTTTGTGGGTTAATAAAGTCATGAAATTTATTTCTTTCAAGATTGTGTTTTATGAGTGGTTTAAGTTTTTGGACAATTTCAAGTTTGTATATGCATAAGCATGCAAATGCATTCTGCATATATGCATGTACTCGTGTATCTGTTAAATACTGCCTGCGATACAAGTTGTGTAGGAGGATTTCAGGACATAAAATTTGTGGCTAATATCGCCGAGTATCACTTTACTTCCAAAGAAACTTTCTTTTGTATAAGCGACTTTTTTGGCATCATCAAAACTTAAAATAATCTCATTAAAAATTCTAGTTTGTGCTTATTTAAATTTATCACTTGAACACATTACGTTCAAAACTATTTCAATTGTAAAGATAAAGCAAAATATGAGCTAAGCAACTTCATTTAATTTTAAAAAATATTTTGAATAACATTTTAAAAATTTATTTTAATTTTTGCTACAAGACTTTTCATAATCGATATAGTATTAAATATAATAGAATAATCCGGGAGTATTAAATATAATAGTATATATATTTATCATATATAGTAGCCATATATAATAGAATAAATGGGGTACTTACTCCTACCGGAGCGGAGACCAGCGACCATTGATATACAATAATAAAAACATTTTCAAAACGTTTTATAAGAAGGCACTAAATTATTAAAAGTTGTTAATGATGTTTTCGATTGGTATATCTGAGCTAATTTTTTCAATCCAGTTGCTCTGTTAATGCACTTTTCGTGAAATTTTATTTTCGATTGGTAAATTTGGGGCAAAATGTATAACACTTGAGATTAATTTATAACACTCGAGATTAATTTATAACACTCTAAATATTTTGCCAGAGTGGCAAAATTTCTCTGAAATTAACAGCTGTTTTATACGAATTGACATAGGTATGTATTTGTGAAAAAAGTAAATGTCTACTAACATGACTAAAATAAATTATAGATTACTCCAAAAATGTTCGATTGGACAATACAATTTGATAGATTGAGAGACAATTTTCATTGAATTCAGATTTACTAAGCGAATACGACATTAGTAAGCTAACAGTTATTTTGGTGAAAAAATGAACATTTCCTTCCTTCATTATAATGTTTTATATCCAATATATTTTT